GTGAAAATGGCCATACTGCCCAAAGTAATTTACAGATTCAACGCTATCCCCATCAAGCTACCAATGACCTTCTTCACAGAACTGGAAAAAAACACCTTAAACTTCATATGGAACCAAAAGAGAGCCTACATAGCCAAGTCAATTCTAAGCAAAAAGAACAAAGTGGGAGGCATCACACTACTGGACTTCAAACTATACTACAAGGCTACAGTAATCAAAACAGCATGGTACTGGTACCAAAACAGAGATATAGGCAAATGGAACAGAACAGAGGCCTACGAGGCAACACAACATATCTACAACCATCCAATCTTTGACAAACCTGACAAAAACAAGCAATGGGGAAAGGATTCCCTGTTTAATCAATGGTGTTGGGAAAACTGGCTAGCCATGTGCAGAAAGAAGAAACTGGACCCCTTCCTGACACCTTACACTAAAATTAACTCCCGATGGATTAAAGACTTAAACATAAGACCGAACACCATAAAAACTCTAGAAGAAAATCTAGGCAAAACCATTCAGGACATAGGCGTAGGCAAGGACTTCATGACCAAAACACCAAAAGCATTGGCAACAAAAGCCAAAATAGACAAATGGGACCTAATCAAGCTTCACAGCTTCTGCACGGCAAAAGAAACAATTATTAGAGTGAATCGGCAACCAACAGAACGGGAAAAAATTTTTGCAGTTTACCCATCTGACAAAGGGCTCACATCCAGAATTTACAAAGAACTAAAACAGATTTACAAGAAAAAAACAAACAAGCCCATTCAAAAGTGGGCAAAGGATATGAACAGATACTTTACAAAGGAAGACATACATGAGGCCAACAAACATATGAAAAAATGCTCACCATCACTGGTCATCAGAGAAATGCAAATCAAAACTACATTGAGATACCATCTCATGCCAGTTAGAATGGCGATCATTAAAAAATCTAGAGACAACAGATGCTGGAGAGGATGTGGAGAAATAGGAACACTTTTACACTGTTGGTGGGAGTGTAAATTAGATCAACCATCGTGGAAGACAGTTTGGCGATTCCTCAAGGACCTAGAAATAGAAATTCCATTTGACCCAGCAATCCCATTACTGAGTATATATCCAAAGGATTATAAATCGTTCTATTATAAGGACACGTGTACACGAATGTTCACTGCAGCACTGTGTACAATAGCAAAGACCTGGAACCAACCCAAATGCCCATCGACGATAGACTGGACAGGGAAAATGTGGCACATATACACCATGGAATATTATGCAGCCATCAAAAACGATGAGTTTGTGTCCTTTGTAGGGACATGGATGAACCTGGAAAGCATCATTCTCAGCAAACTGACACAAGAGCAGAAGATCAAACACCGCATGTTCTCACTCATAGGCGGGTGTTGAACAATGAGAACACATGGACACAGGGAGGGGAGCACTACACACATGGGTCTGTTGGGGGAAAATAGGGGAGGGTCAGTGTGGGGTGATGAGTTGGGGAGAGATAGCATGGGGAGAAATGCCAGATATAGGTGATGGGGAGGAAGGCAGCAAATCACACTGCCACGTATGTACCTATGCAACAATCTTGCATGTTCTTCACATGTAACCCAAAATCTAAAAATGCAATAAAATAAATTTAAAAAAAAGAAAAAAAGAAAGCTAATCACCAGATTCAGGTTTTTTCTGTCTTTTGAGAGACTGCCTTTCTCTGGCACTGGCTGCAACCAATGATTATTTTAAAGAGAGTTAACCGCCCTGGGGGCTCTCTCCTACCCTGTTTCTGTCTGACTAGCTACCTACTGTAACAAACTAACTTTATTTAGAACGGATAGCAGGGAATTTTCAGCATCAGCACACTCTTGAAAATAATAGAGACTGTGTTGATGAGCAATTAAGAGGAGGCTGGGAGCTCCATGAAAAGCAGCAGCTAAACCAAAGAGAAGAGAAGTTGATGAACGCCTCAAGGCGTGAGACAGTGAGAAGAGCCTTTTGTGCTGGGAAAAACCTCAAAGTCTGGTCAAAAAGATTACCTATGCAAAGGCTCTCATATTCACTGGATGAGATACTGGGACAACTTATGTCCCAGAGCACTGTTGAAAAGAGTAAAGCAATCAGTCTGCAATTAGTGGAGGGTAACAGTGTTTTGTAATACCTGAAGCACACAGTTTAACACAAAGAGCAGAGAAAGACACAAAGAAAGCCCTGCTAAAACTAAAACCACTGTGATCCCATGATTACTGTGCCCATGTCAAAAAAGCTGCTGACGAGTGACATCTCAGCTGCACATGCTGAAGAAATACACTTTACTAAAAGAGTCCAGCCGTGACCCTAAACAAATAAGCAAACAATCGCAACAAGCCTGGGGAGGAGATGAATTAGCATTCAAGGTATTGTTACAATGTATTATCTAAAATGTCCAGTTTTCAGCCAAAAAAAAGAAAAATATATGAGATATGGAAAGAAAAAGGACAGTGTGACCCATTGGTAGGGAAAAAAAGCAGCAAACAAAGCAAACTTTGATCGAGTTTAGCTGCCAGACTTAGTAGGCAAAAACTTTAAAGCAACCAATAAAAATATGTTTAAAGAATTAAAGGAAAGGAAAACATGCTTTAAAAAGTAAAGGGAAATATGATCGTCATGCTTCATAAAATAGAGAATATCACTAGAGAGAAATTAATTTTTAAAAAAGGAAATCAAAATGTTGAAAATATAGTATCTTTAAAAAAAAAAAAAAAACAAACCCACTAGAGGGCTCAACCAGAGTTAACCTGACAGGAAAAAAAATGTACTTTAAGACAGCTGAATATAGATTATGTAATCTTGTAACCGAGTACCTGCATTTTTCTAAGAAAAAGGAATGAATTACTACTTTTTAAGTTATTTTCTGTTCTCTTCTCCCCTTTCCCCATTCCCTGTTTGTTTCCTACTCAGCCCTTCAAAAATTCAAATTTTACCTTTTACACACTTTCCCCTCACCAGATACTCCCTGCAGGGCAAACTCTTCTAACTAAGCCTCCAAGACAGATCTCTCCTTGAGAACTGACAGTCAAGTAGCAGATCAAACAATACTGGCCAGGGAACTTTCACCTCGAAGGGGTGGTCTTGAAACTTCCACCCTCTAGGGATTGCAGCTCTTGTAGGGAGTCGGGGGGGAACTTTCATCCACCAGGAGGACATATTGAAATCATGCCTGCTTGGCCACAACTTATTCTGCCCAGGAAGGTGCCAGTTCAACTGTCTGTTAGATTACGTACCAGCTAGCAGTGGGACCCCTGCCCTGGTTCACTTCCCCACTTATCTTATAAAACTGTCTGCTTTCTGCTCCAAAGGTGAAGCAGCACACATAAAGGCAGGATGCTTTGTGCCTCATTACCTAAGCTAGCGTTGGAATAAATTTTCCTTCTACCAGACCTCACTCTTGTTAATTGGACTCTAAATGTGGTATGCAACTAACCTGCTTTTTGGTTACAATCTGAAGGTCAGAAAGAAATAAAAATGAACATCAACTTCAGAGAAATGTGTGACATTATTAAGACAATGCAGGCATTATTAAGACAACTTAGGTAGTCCCAAAAGGAAAGAAAGAAAAAAGGTAGGAAAATATTCAAAAAATAATGGCTGAAAATAATCCACATTTGATGACAATCAAGCTACACATCGAAAAAGAACAACTAACTGAGTTGGACAAAGGCAAAAAGATCCACAACCAGATACATCATCATAAAAATGTTGAAAGTCAAAAGCAAAGAGAAAATGTTAAAGGCGGCAAGAGAATAACCACTTGTCATGTACTAGGGAACTGTAAAAGATGGGCAGTTGATTGTTAATCAGGAACAAAGGAGGCCAAAAGATGGTAACATGACATATACGAAGTACAGAAAGAAAAAAAAAAAAAACCTGTCAACCAAGAATTTAATATTCAGTAAAATTATCTTTAAAAAATAAAGACCTATTTCAAATAGGTCTTTCAAAAATACAGACCTATTAAAAAAAGACAAAGGACCTAACACACATTTCTCCAACGAAGACATACAAATACCAACAGGTATATGAAAAAATGCCCAACATCACTAATCATCAGGAAAATGCAAATGAAAACCACCATGAGGTATCGCCTCACCCCAGTTAAAATGGCTATCATAAAACACACACACACACACACACACACACACACACACACACACACACACACACACACTCTAATAAATGTAGGCAAGGATGCAGAGAAAAACACACTCCATAGGAAAGGAACATGCTGCTGCACTACTGGAGCCACTATGGAGAACAGTATTGAGGTTCTTCAAAAAACTAAAAATAGAACTACTGTATTATCTGGCAATCCTACTACTGGATATACAGACAAAGGAACTGAAATCAGTATGTTGAAGAGATATCTGTACTCTCATTTCACTGCAGCATTATTCCCAATAGTAAAGGTATGAAACCCATCAAGAAACGAATGGACAAAGAAAATGTGGTACACATACACAATGTAATACCTTAAAAAAAAAAAAAAAAAAAAAAGAAATTCTGTCATCTGCAACAAAATGGATGAACCTGGAAGACATCATGTTATGCTAAGTGAAATAAGCCAGGCAGTGAGGGACAAACATTACATGATCTCACTTAAGTGGCGAATCTAAAAAGGTCAAACTCACAGAAACAGAGTAGAATAATGGTTGTTACCAGAGGATGGGGGAGGAGGGAGGAGAAAGAATGGGGAGATGCTGTTCAAAGGGCACAAAGTTTCAATTAGAGTGCAGGAATACGTTTTTGAGATTTACTGCACAGTATGGTGACTATACCAATGTATTTCCTATTTCAAAGCTGCTGAGAGAGTAAATTTCAAATTACCACAAAAAAACGGTAAGTACAGTGATGGATATGTTAATTAGCTTGTTTTAATCATTCCACATTGTATACAAAATTATATACATGTCACATCATCATGCTGCATCCCACAAATATATATGATTTCTCAATTAAAAAAAGAAAATCAAATTTCTCACCTTCTGTGTCCACCATATCAAGTTTAATTGCCTTTGTTCCGTCAAAGCAGAATGCCCTGATGGAATTCAGTCCTAACAATAATGCATTCTGCTTTATTTTTTCTACTTTGTTGAAGATTTTATCTAGCGCTATAACTTCTCCCTAAAAAGAAAACAGACACACGCAGACACATTAAAAAAAAAAAAAAAAAACTATAAATCCAAAGCAGTCATAAAAATGAGAAAAACATAAAAAATTACTCTTTTTGACTATCCTCCCATCCCTACTTTAAAACCTGAATCCATTAACCAAATGTATATCCAATTTACACTAAATACGATGTCTTTCCATTAAGAAAATACACATTCCTGCCAGAAAAATAATCTTTTTTTTTTTTTTTTTTTTAGGACAAGGTTTCCCTCCTGGTGCCCAGGCTGGAGTGCAATGGTGCCATCTCAGCTTACCGCAACCTCTGCCTCCTGGGTTCAAGCGATTCTCCTGCCTCAGCCTCCCGAGTAGCTGGGATTGCAGGCATGTGCCACCATGTCGAGGCTAATTTTTTTGTATTTTTTAGTAGAGATGGGGTTTCTCCATGTTGGTCAGGCTGACCTCAAACTCCCGACCTCAGGTGATCCGCCTGCCTTGGCCTTCCAAAGTGCTGGGATTACAGAAGTGAGCCACTGCCCCCAGCCTAAAAAAATAATCTTATAATGACTAGCTACTTTTAATCAACAAAACTCAAAACCAAGAAGTATTTGCAATCTTATAAAGAAACTTAAAAACATCCATTGGAGGCAAACATTAAAAATCACCAATTTGATGTCCCTCGTTCACCTCTGGAAGAACATCAGCTAATGCTGTTAGACAGCAGCCTTAAAGTGCTTTGAGACAGACAGATGCAAATGAATGTTCCTTGTAAAAGTGGTCATTTTAATATCTTCCAGCTAGCCACATAAAATTCCTATGAATTCTGGCAGCCAACACAGGAAAAATATCAGCCAAAACCTCTATATAGCATGGCAAAATGTTCTGGTGTGGTATAAAACATAGTTCAAGAAAATTTTATAGAGTAACACTTTAAGTCAAAGTCAATAAAGATAAGAGGTGAAAATCTGGGAGGGGCTGAAGAGAAACAGCTCTGGTCTGCAGCTCCCAGCCAGATCAACCCAGAAGGCGATTATTTCTCCATTTCCAACTGAGGTACCCAGTTCATCTAATTGAGACTGGTTAGGCAGTGGGTGCAAACCACAGAGAGCAAGCAGAAGCAGGGTTGGGCATCATTCAACCAGAAAGTGCAAGCAGTCACGGGAACTCCCTTCCTCAGCCAAGGGAAGGAACTAACTGTGCTACCCAGCCCAGGTATTACGCTTTTCCCATGGTTTTTGCAATCCGCAGATCAGGAGATTCCCTCATAAGCCTACACCACAAGGGCCTTGGGTTTCAAGCACAAAACTGGGCAGCTGTTTGGGCAGGCACCGAGCTACCTGCTGGAGTTTTTTGGTACCCCAGTGGTACCTGGAACCTCAGTGAGATATAGCCATTTATTCCCCTGGAAAAGGTGCTGAAGCCAGGGAGCCAAGTGGTATCACTCATCAGGTCCCACTCCCATGGAGCCCAGCAAGCTAAGAACCACTGGCTTGAAATTTTAACTGCCAGCACAGCAGTCTGGAGTCCACCCAGGACCATCACACTTGGTGGGCATCCATCACTACTGAGGCTTTAGGAGGCGGTTTTCCCTTAACAGTGCTAAGGTTTGGACTGGGAGGAATTCAGCACAGTGTAGCAAAGCAGCTGTTGCTGGACTGCTTCTCTAGATTCCTCCTCACTGGGCAGGGCATCTCTGAAGGAAAGGCAGCAGCCCCAAGTCAGGGGATTACATATAAAACTCTCCTCTCCCTAGAACAGAGCACCTGGGGGAGGGGGCGGGATGGCTGTGGGTACAACTTCAGTGGACTTAATCTTTCCAGCCTGCCGGCACTGAAGACAGCATCTGATCCTGACAAGGGGGATTCTCCTAGCACAGTGCACCAGCTCTGTTAAGGGACAGAGACTGCCTCTTCAAGTAAATCCCTGACCACCGTGCCTCGGGACTGGGAGACACCTCCCCGCAGGGTTCGACAGACACCTCATACAGGCAAGCTCCAGGTGGCATCAGGCCAGTGCCCCTATGGGACAAAGCTTCCAGAAGAAGGAGCAGGCAGCAATCTTTGCTGTTCTGCAGCCTCCACTGATGATACCCAGGCAAACAGGGTCTGGAGTGGACCTCCAACAAACTGCAGCAGACCTGCAGAAGAGGGGCCTGATTTAGAAGAAAAACTAACGAACAGAAAACAACAATATCAACAAAAAAGACCCCTGCACAAAAATCCCATCCAAAGGTCATCAGACTCAAAGATTAAAGGTATATAAATCCATGAAGATAAGAAAAAAACAGCAGAAAAATGCTAAAAATTCCAAAAACCAGAATGCCTCTTCTCCTCCAAATGATCGCAACTCCTCTCCAGCATGGGCATCTACAAAGAGACTTAGACGCCCACACAATAACAGTGGGAGACTTCAACACCCTACTGTTAATATTAGACAGATCAGTGAGACAGAAAATTAATAAGGATATTCAGGACTTGAACTCAGCTCTGGATCAAGTGGACCTAACAGACAGCTACAGAACTCTCCACCCCAAATCAACAGAATAAGCATTCTTCTCAGCACCACATGGCACTTATTCTAAAATTGACCATATAATTGGAAGTAAAACACTCCTCAACAAATGCAAAAGAATGGAAATCATAACAGTCTCTCAGACCACAGTGCAATCAAATTAGAACTCAGGATTAACAATCTCACTCAAAATTGCACAACTACATGGAAATTGAACAAACTTCTCCTGAATAACTACTGGGTAAATAACAAAATTAAGGCAGAAATAAAGAAGTTCTTTGAAACCAATGAGAACAAAGAGACAACATACCAGAATCTCTGCGACACAGTTAAAGCAGTGTTAAAAAGGAAATTTACAGGACTAAATGCCCACATCAGAAAGCTAAAAATCGACACCTGAACGTCACAATTAAAAGAACTAGAGAAGCAAGAACAAATAAAAGCTAGCAGAAAACAAGAAATAACTAAGAGCAGAACTGAAGGAGATAGAGACACAAAAAACCCTTCAAAAAAAAAAAAATCAATGAATCCAGGAGAGGGTTTTTTGGAAAAGATTAACAAAATAGACCATTAGCAAGACTAATACAGAAGAAAAAAGACAAAAATCAAACAGAAAAAATAAAAAATGATAAAGAGGATATCACCACTGATGCCACAGAAATACAAACTACCATCAGAGAATAAACACCTCTACACAAGTAAACTAGAAAATCCAGAAAAAATGGATACATTACTGGACACATAAACCCTCCCAAGAATAAACCAGAAAGAGGGGGAATCCTTGAATATATCAGTAACAAGTTCTGAAACTGAGACAGTAATTAATAGCCCACCAACCAAAAAAAAGCCCAGGACCAAATAAATGGATTCACAGCCGAATTCTACTGGAGGTACAAAGAGGAGCTGGTACCATTCCTTCTGAAATGATTCCCAACAACAGAAAATGATTCCTAACTCATTTTATGAGGCCAGCATCATCCTGACACCAAAACCTGGCAGAAACACACACACACACAAAGAAAATTTCAGGCCAATATCCCTGATGAACATTGATGCAAAAATCCTCACTAAAATACTGGCAAACCGGATGCAGCAATACATCACAAAGCTTATCCACCACGATCAAGTTAGCTTCATCCCTGGGATGCAAAATTGGTTCAGTATACACAAATCAATAAACATAATCCATCACATAAACAGAACCAATGACAAAAACCACATGATTACCTCAATAGATGGAAAAGAGGCCTTCGATAAAATTCAACATCCCTTCATGTTAAGAATGCTCAATAAACTAAGTATTATAGAACATCTCAAAATAATGAGAGCTATTTATGACAAACTCACAGCCAATATCATACTGAATGGGCAAAAGCTGGAAGTATTCCCTTTGAAAACCAGCACATGACACGGATGCCCTCTCTCATCACTCCTATTCAACATAATATTGGAAGTTCTGGCCAGGGCAATCAGGCAAGAGAAAGAAATAAAGGGTATTCAAACAGAAAGAGAGGAAGTCAAGTTGTCTCTGTATAAGCCCATCATCTCAGCCCAAACACTCCTTAAGCTGGTAAGGAACTTCAGCAAAATCTCAGGATACAAAATTAATGTGCAAAATTCACAAACATTCCTATACACCAACAATAGGCAAGTAGAGAGCCAAATCATGAGTGAACTCCCATTCACAATTGCTACAAAGAGAATAAAATACCTAGGAATACAATTAACAAGGGATGCAAAGGGCCTCTTCAAAGAGAACTACAAACCACTGCTCAAGGAAATCAGAGAGGACACAAACTAATGGAAAAGCATTCCATGCTCATGGATAGGAAGAATCAATATCGTGAAAATGGCCATACCGCCCAAAGTAATTTACAGATTCAGTGCTACTCCCATTAAACTACAATTGAATTTCTCAGTGAATTAGAAAAAACTACTTTAAATTTTATATGGAACCAAAAAGGAGCCCATATAGCCAAGACAATCCTAAGCAAAAAGAACAAAGCTGGAGGCATCATACCACCTGACTTCAAACTATACTACAAGGCTACAGTAACCAAAACAGCATTGCATTGGTACCAAAACAGACATATAAACCAATAGAATAGAACAGAGATCTCAGAAATAACAACAGACATCTACAACCATCTGATCTTCAACGAACCTGACAAAAGCAATGAGGAAAGACTCCCTATTTAATAAACAGTCCTGGGAAAACTGGCTCTCCATATGCAGAAAACAGAAACTGGACCCTTCCTTACACAAATATTAACTCAAGATGGATGCGACTTAAACGTAAAACCCAAACCATAAAAACCCTAGAAGAAAGGCAAAGCCATTCAGGACATAGGCATAGGCAAAGACATCATGACTAAATCACCAAAAGCAATTGCAACAAAAGCCAAAACTGGCAAATGAGATCTAAGTAAACTAAGGAGTTTCTGTACAGCAAAAGAAACTATCATCAGAGGGAAAAGGCAACCTACAGAATGTGAGAAATCTTTTGCAATCTACCCATCTGGCAAAGGTCTAATAACCAGAAACTACAAGGAACTTAAACAAATTTACAAGGAAAAAACCACCCTATCAAAAAGTAGACGAAGGATATGAACAGATACTTCTCAAAAGAAGATACTGATGGGGCTAACAAACATGAAAAAAAGTTCATCATCATTGGTCATTAGAGAAATGTAAATCAAAACCACAATAAACTACCATCTCACGCCAGTTAGAATGGCAATCACTAAAAAGCCAGGAAACAACAAATGCTGGAGAGGATGCGGAGAAATAGGAACACTTTTACACTGTTAGTGGGAGTGTAAATTAGTTCAACCATTATGAAGGACAGTGTGGGGATTCCTCAAGGATCTACAACTAGAAATATCATTTGACCCAGCATCCCATTACTGGGTATATACCCAAAGGATTATAAATCATTCTACTATCAAGACACATGCACACATATGTGTATTGCAGCACTATTCACAATAGCAAAGACTTGGAACTAACCCAAGTGACCATCAATGACAGACTGGAAAAACAAAATGTGGCACATATACACCATGGAATACTATGCAGCCATGAAAAAGAATGAGTTAATATCCTTTGCAAGACAATAGATAAAACTGGAAACCATCGTTCTCAGCAAACTAACACAGGAACAGAAAACCAAACACCACATGTTCTCACTCATAAGTGGGAGCTGAACAGTGAGAACACAGGGAAACGTCACACATGGGGGTCTGTCAGGGAGTTGGGGTCAAGGGGAGAGGTAGCATTAGGACAAATATGTAATGCACATGGGGCTTAAAACCTAGATAATGGGTGGATAGATGCAGCTAACCACCATGGCACATGTATACCTATGTAACAAACCTGCACATTCTGCATGTATATCCCAGAACTTAAAGCAAAATTTTTAAAAACAAACAGTCAAAATTTTCAGAATGCATTGTGGGTCGAGAGCAGTGGCTCACACCTGTAATCCCAGTACTTTGGGAGGCTGGGACAGGCACCTCACTTGAGGCCAGGAGTTCGAAATCAGACTGGCCAACATGGTGAAACCTCCTCTCTACTAAAATTACAAAAATTAGTCAGTGGTGGCAAACACCTGTAATCCCAGCTACTCAGGAGGCTGAGGCATGAGAATCACCTGAACCTGGGAGGCAGAAGTTGCAGTTGGCCAAGCCTGGGCCACAAAGCAAGACTTCGCCTCAAAAAAAAAAAAAAAAAAAAAAAAAAAAAAAGAATGCATTGTAATATTCATATATTTTTAAATATACTATGAAATTATATATGCAAGACAGTGAAAATGACTTTTCTATATATTTTATTCCTTTTCTTTTATATGGTCCTTGTATGCCATATACAGCAATGGCATAGCCTACAATGCAGAAAATGTGTAAATATTCCTCAAATGCCACCAGGTTTAGTGATAGACACTTTCAATTAATACTGTGACAAACAGGGAAACCATTTAAAGTGAGGTGAACTAGGAAAGTAGTCAACAACTAGAATAAAGGTCACATGTATTGCATAGTAAAGGAGAAACTAGCTGATGGCTACTTTTATAAAACTACAAGCCTGGAGGCTGCAGTCATAAAAGATTTGCTTACCTACTAAAACAAATAACAAATTAAAAGCAGCAACACAATTTGGGATTCAGTTCTGGCTCAAATATCTGTATTCTGGTTGTTCATGTCTACGTTGCTGTCCCACTATAGTTGATTGCTGCCTACATATAGCCTCAATTCTTCAACTTTCCACGTATATTCATCCTTCATCAGAAAATCCTGCAATACCCAATATGCTGCCACTCTGTTCAGATTCAGCCATGTGATTTGTTTTGGCCAATAAATAGGATGACAGTAAATGTGATGTAAGCAGAGATTTTTTAATAAATACAATGAAAAGCACTTGAACAGTTGCACTTGCTCGGCTTTGCTCTCTGCCATCACTAGCCTCCAATTATTGCCCTCTGCTGGGCTAGTCTGCTGGTCCTAGCCAGAGGAGAACTTACACATTGACCAGAGGCAGGGCATCCTAGTTGTCTCAGCTGAGGCCACTTTAGCTGAGTCAACAATTATCCAAGTCTAAGCCAACGGGCCCACCGAAGATCATCAGAAATGCCTAGTTTATCTGCAGCTGACTAGTACATGAGTGAGCCCAGCAGAGATCAGCTGAATCCCATAGATACCCGAGACCCCAAAATGTTTAGTTGTATGCCACTGAAATTTTGTGTCTTTACATATCATAAAACCAACAGAAAACTGAATATCCAGACTCCCTTTGGAAAGACTTTTTTTTTTACTAAGAGAAAGTCAAATCTCTACGAATAATTATCGTTAAGCAAATACAATACACCATAAATTAAACGAGAATTAAAACTTTCTCAAAACCTATCATGACCAAACTTAAACCTTCCATATAAACTGAAAAATGATTTGCATTAAACATTGCAACTCAACAAAATAAACTCTTATTTCAGATGCTTTCTTTTATGCACTAGTGGTATTTAATACATTTTCCCTGAAGAGTTTTTGTTACCACTTTAAATTCTTTTGAGGCAAAGAGGAGTATAAATAAGCAGACAAGCATATTCTAAGGGTATTAAATTCCTCAAAATTTAAACAACAAATATCCTTTACTCTTTTTTCATTCTCATTTTCAGTATTTAAAAAATATCCTTTTCTATTAGAGATATTTCTTAGACCAAAATAACTTTAAATAGTAAATATTCTAAATGTATGTGTATATCTTTATGTATTATAGAACTATGTGTATATATATCTTAACATATACATATTTCACACTTTGATAATGTACTGTGAAATTAGTTTTTAAAGGCAGAATATACTTTAATCGTTTAAACTACAAAATCTTAAAATTAAGAATATAAAATATCTAAATATATTAAATTGAATTTTATAACAGAAGTAGTCTGTAATCATATTAGCAAACTGTAAAATTCAAGAAGGTCTTGAGACAGTCTTCATAAATGATCATTGTCTACTGAGCTTAATATGTGGTGACTGACATCACTGAATAGTTTTCATTTTGGCTGAATCTGAAATAGACTGTGAATGGCTGTATGTTTCAGAAGTTTCACACTGTTCCACCTTCACTACTGAAATATATACTGCTTTGAAAGTGGTTTTGCTGTGAAGACAGTCTCACCTGATCATGCATTAGTGCTGCAATGTGTGTTGTTTTACCTCCAGGTGCTGCACACAAGTCTAGAATCTTCTCACCAGGTTGAGGATTTAGAACATGAGTTACTACAGCAGATGGCAAATTCTATAAAGAAAAAAAATGTTATCAATTATCAATAATCCTAAACCATTTTTGAGAACCAGAGAATGTAAAGAAGCCTCTGGGTTTAATCCACTATACAGCATCCCCAAGTCTGCCAAGAGGGTAGTTTTTATAAATACACTCAGGAAATTCACAATTTCCTAGACTAGCCTATGATCTCCCAGGACTTACACACAAACCACCTATGAAAGAACACAAAACATACCTCATCTATAATAGTAAGTCATATTCAATCATTAATTTATTAGTATTAATTATATAAGGACTACTTACTATAGAATGACAGCCTTGAATAAAACAGATGGAATAGTGTCATAAAATAACTCATTTCTAAAATTACCTTGCAAGAAAAACAGAGTCTAACAAGCATGGAGTTATTTGCTTATTTTGGAGACAGGGTCTCATTATTTTGCTTAGGCTGGGCTTAAATTTTGGATCCTCCCAATCGTGCCTCTTAAACCTTAAAGATTTCAATTCATTCTTACAAAAACATCCTCAAGAATTTTGAGTGGGCTGCAACATTCTCAAGGGAATCTAAGATCACCACTTCAAAACAAACTCAATGGTGAGAAAGGAGTTTGAAACAAGCAAATTTCTTCCTCTGAATATAACAAGCATTAAAATCAATGCAAATAATGTAGGCACCCAAAGAGCTATAAACACTAAAAATAACTTTACTATAGTTTATCCAGCAAGTTCTATGATTTATTTATATTTTTGAGACAAGGTCTGGCTCTGTCACACAGGTTGCAGTGCAGTGACACAATCACAGCTCACTGAAGCCTCAACCTCCTGGGCTTTCTCAATCCTCCCACCTCAGCCTCCCAAGTAGCTGGGACTATAGGCACACATCACCTAACTCAGCTACTTTTTTTACATATTTTGCAGAGACAGGGTTTCCTCATGTTGCCCAGGATGGTCTTAGGACTCCTGGGCTCAGGCAATCTGCCTATCTAGGCCTCCCAAAGTGTTGGGATTACAGGTGTGAGCCAGTACACCTGGCAGCAAGTTTTATTTATTACAAAAATATTTAAATAGAACTTCAAGACGAAAACACTAAAACATGTTTGAAGCTGCTAAAGGTTTGCTGATTCTTTATCTGGAGACGACTTGCTCTGCTTCACTCCTAAAAATGATAACATTAATGGATTGGCTAAAGATTACATAAGTTTCCATTCAAACATAATATATTAAGAACCTTCTGATTGTAGTAAGTCGAAAAATACGAAACAGTCCATGTCAATACGCTTCATTAAAGATTCAAATGACAGTTTTTAAAATTTATTTATTTATTTTTGGAGATATGGTCTTGCTCTGTGACACAGGCTGGAGTGCAGCGGTGCAATCATAGCTCTCTGCCGCCTTGAACTTCTGGGCTCAAGAAATCCGCCCACCTCAGCGTCCAGAGCAGCTAGGACTACAAAGCCTGGCCAATTTTGTAAATTTTTTGTAGCGACGGGGTCGTACTGTATCGCTTCTTGGCCTTTTGGCTAAGATCAAGTGTGGAGACAGGGTTTGCAATATGTTGCCTAGGCAGTCTCAAACTCCCAGGCTCAAGTTATCCTCCAGCCTTGGCCTCCCAAAGTTCTGGGATACAGGTGTGAGCCACTGTGCCCGGTGACAGAGTTTTCTTAAAATCATTTGCTACCTTCCTCTAGAATATTCCTTTACACTGGTTTTGCAATGTAATCACCTGGTAAGCTTAGGAAAAAAAGTGTGGGCCTTATCTAGTAAAGTGAGAATTTCTAGCACTGGATCATCAGCGGTTTCAAAATCACCCTACACGATTCTAGTGTGCCATCCACCCATGCACCACAGCTGGACTACACTGACTACCACTTAGCTGCACATTAGAATCACCTATGAAAGCTTTTAAACATCTGATCCAGGTTCTAACCCAGACAAAGGAAGGCAGCCACAAGTGGTAGGGCCAGGCAGGAGTCTTTATTCAATGATCCATAGTTTGTGCAACCTCTTTAAATTGCTTAGAAGAAATGAGGCACTTAAAAAATTAAGGGCCGGGCGCAGTGGCTCACGCCTGTAATCCCAGCACACTCTGGGAATCCGAGGCGGGTGGATCACCTGAGGTTGGGAGTTCGAGACCAGCCTGACCAACTTGGAGAAATCCCATTTCTACTAAAAATACAAAATAATTATCTGGGTGTGGTGGTGCATGCCTGTAATCCCAGCTACTCTGAGGCTGAGGCAGGAGAATCGCTTGAAGCTGGGAGGTGAAGATTGCAATGAGTCGAGATCACACCACTACACTCCAACCTGGGCAACTAGAGTGAATCTCCGTCTCAAAAAAAAAAAAAAAAAAAGTTAAGTTTCAGGCACCAATTTTTTCTTCCAGTGAACCAAGACTATAACTTTGAAAGCAGCTGCTGTTAAGTATTTAACTGTTAAACTTTTATCAGACAATTAGTTCAACTGAAGGGCATCTAATACTTCTTAATTCTATGGATTGTGTTTAAGCAATTTAAAAGTTTCCTTTTTGATTTTGAGAAACCAAATGATATAGCAGAGTTGCAATTTTAATGACTGTGTACAATACTACTATTAACTTTACAAAATATCTTTGGGTAATCTGAGATGCTAAAATTAAAAATAATCCCTATCACGGGCCCCTGATCATAAACCCCCCATCACTAAAAAGCCCTCACCACAATGTGAAGCTTTTGCATTGGCTGTTGGTATTCCCCCCATGTATAGGCTTGGGGGAATAACAATTTTCAGAAAAAGGCAAGAGGCATCAAAAACCAAACCAAAATGAAAAACCCCCACAAATTTCCCAAAGATTTTTCCAAGACAAAGTATTTAATTATGTCCTCCTGTCCTGCACAATAACAAAACAATAATCACTTAGAATGAAAAGCGAGGCCAGGTGTGGTGGCTGATGCCTATAATCCCAACACTTTCAGAGGCCTAGATGGGAGGACCGCTTCAGACCAGAGGTTCCAGACCAGCCTGGGCAACATAGTGAGACCTCATCTCCATAAAAAAAAAAAAAAAAAAAAAAAAAAAAAAAATCAAAAATTGGCAATGCATAGTGCTGTGTGCCTATAGTAGCAACTACTTAGGAGGCTGAGGCAGGAAGATCACTTGAACCTGGAAGGTCCAGGCTGCAGTTAGCCACAATTCCACTACCACACACAGCCTGGGAGACAAAGTGAGATATTGCCTCAAAAATACCAAAGAAAAAAGACTACTAGCAGGCCGGCACAGTGGCTCACACCTGTAATCCCAACACTTTGGGAGGCCAAGGCGGTGGATCACCTGAGGTCAGGAGTTCGAGACCAGCCTGGTCAACATCATAAAATCCCGTCTCTACTAAAAACACAAAAATTATCCCAGTATGGTGGTGGGCGCCTGGAATCTCAGCTACTTGGGAGGCTGAGGCATGAGAATCGCTTGAATTGGGAAGGTGGAGGTTGCAACAAGCTGAGATCATGAGACTATACTCCAGCCTGGTAGACACAGTGAGACTCAGTCTCAAAAAATAAATAAAATACAGAATCAAAACAGTAGACAGATGCTTTATTCATTGACTCCACAAAATGCATTGAGTGCTTACTATATATCAGACATTGGTCTATGCACTGGAGAGATCCCTCTCTTCAATGGAATTTACATTTTGCTGGAGGTGCAAGAAAAGCACTCCTGCCCTGTGTGCATGTCTTTTTTATTATAACAACAGTAAGATGACATCCTTCTTTTATATTTAATAAGCTGAAAATGAGTTATTGCCAAAAGCAACAGCTGAGCACGAACTACACACAAAGCATCAGACTGCCAGGCGCAGTGGCTCACACCTGTAATCCCAGCACTTTAGGAGGCCAAGGTGGGCAGAACACGAGGTCAAGAGATCGAGACCATCCTGACCAACATGATGAAACTCCGTCTCTACTAAAAATATAAAAATTAGCTGGGCACAGCGGTACACTCCTATAGCCCCAGCTACTCAGGAGACTGAGCCAGGAGAATTGCTTGAAACTGGGGGGCGGAAGTTGCAGTGAGCTGAGATAACACCACTTTACTCCAGCCTAGGTGATAAAGCAAGTTTTTCAAGTGATTTGATACATACGAATTTACTGCAGAGTCTTAGTAAATGGCGCGATTAAATTATAAAATTTGTGAGATAATAAACCTCCCTGCATAGCCTGAGACCTATGAAAGCCTTGGGCATCTTCTCTACTAGATCTAAGTTAATTCCTAAAACCAAAATGAAAACTGCAAATTACGGCTACAATGAGCTTCTTAGCTGTTAGAGAAGCATGGATACTGACAAAAGCAAAAATTTTAAATTTGTTATTAAAGTATCAGCATCTATTGCAATAATTTAACACTATTGAAAAGTACTTTCATTTAGATGATGCCTCTTATGTGATGTACTTTCAGTGACTGTCATTTAATCCACTTTAGTATTCAAGTGTGTTTGTTTGAAAAGAAAAGCGACTTGTTGAAACATTCCAAACGTTTTTTTTTTTTTTTGGAGACGGAGTTCCGCTCTTGTTACCCAGGCTGGAGTGCAATGGCGCGATCTCGGCTCACCGCAACCTCCGCCTCCTGGGTTCAGGCAATTCTCCTGCCTCAGCCTCCTGAGTAGCTGGGATTACAGGCACGTGCCACCATGCCCAGCTAATTTTTTGTATTTTTAGTAGAGACGGCGTTTCACCATGTTGACCAGGATGGTCTCGATCTCTTGACCTCGTGATCCACCCGCCTCGGCCTCCCAAAGTGCTGGGATTACAGGCTTGAGCCACCGCGCCCAGCCTCCAAACGTTTTATATTACCATTATATGTAAATGTGAAACTTGTTCTATTTGTGAAAATCATTATGTATGTAAAAATTCAAGGATAATAATGAAATTTTTAAATTCCACATTCTTCTTAAACTTACTCTTCTGCACTTTTAGAATTTTCCTTAGAGAAATGAATATCACCTGGTTCTGGTCTGCACTGAATTAAGCTATTTAGGTTTTATAGATCAGTTACGACCCACTTAAGAATCTGGCAGCTCTGAACCAGGTTGAAAAGGAAAATCTAACACAAAAATATCAACTAATATCTTAAAGCACTGACCACAGAGTTTTTGGGAAATTGTCAAAGAAGCACTTGGGAAATTTAATGTCATATGTGAATTGCTTAAAGACCTCACCCTCTGAACTTGGAACTCAGTAAATCTAAATTATGACCCAAGAACTGCATTTTCAAAAGGTCCTGCAGGTGATTCAGATGCAGATCTTACAAGGGTTATATCTGGAGCACTGGCATGGGGTCAAGAATACAGGTTAGAAGTCAGAAAGACCTGTATTCAAATTTTGACTGTAGTTATTTTTTACCTACACAGCACACAGCAAATCACTCATTTAATCACTGAAAAACTATAAATACCTACTATATGCTACGCACTTTACGTTTCTAAGGCTCTATTTCCTTATCTATAAAATTGAAGGTTTCCAGGAAGTAAATGTAGTAACTTATATGAAACACTCAGCTCAGTATACATGGACCACAATAAGCACTCAGCCAACGTTAGCTGCGATACCATTAGCATCCCTTATGATAAGTCTCACTGGCCATCAGAAACTGGCCATCGAAATAGATTACATAAAATAAAACTGCTTTCACTGGAGAGATGACAAAAGGTTAAACTCCACCCTCTGACACAAAAGCTTTATTCTGGCAGGAAATTCTCATGTCCCTTGCTATTAGGTGACAAAGAATATAGCTCTATGGTAGTCTGGACAGTATGAATCGGAAAATGACTCGCAATACTTCATCAAGTCATCATTAAACTGATTTTAAGGTGAAGGAGTACAGCTATAGATAGCAAAAAAATATAAAAAAGATTTTTTATAAAGTCAAAACTAAATTATGACCAGGCACAGTGGTTCATGCCTATAATTCCAGAACTTTGGAAGGCCAAGATGAGATAATCACTTGAGCTCAGGAATTCAAAACCAGCCTGGGCAATATGGCAAAGCCCCATCTCTACTAAAAATATAAAAATTAGCCAGGTGCGGTGGTACATGCTGTAGTCCCAGCTACTCAGGAGGCTGACGTGGGAGGATCACCTGAGCCTGGGAGGTCGAGGCTGCAGTGACCCAAGATCATGACACTGCACTCCAGCCTGGGTGACAGAGTGAGAGCCTATCTCAAAGAAAACAAGACAAAAACCTAAATTATGGGATGAGTAGGTACTGTCAAACCAAAGAGAAAACTAACACTGCATTAAACATTATTAATTTGAAGCAGTGCAGGTATCATTAGCAATGATTCATGGCTACATTTTCAAATGAACACAAATGTTTAAAAATGAATTATATAATCAACAAGCACAAAAAAACACCAAACTCCATTGAAACTAAAATTAGCAAACAAAAATCCCCAAAATGATTCATAAGCAATTATATGTTAGATTATATACCCTAACGTGTTAGACCATTACCAATGTGCAATCAGAGTATAATAAACATCTGTTTTTCTGTTCGTTCACACCAGAAATAATCTCTGAATTTATAAAATGTCTACTGGCTAAATACCGGGAAGAAGCCAGGTGCAGTGGCTCACACCTATAATTCCAACACTTTGGGAGGCCAAGGTGGGAGGACCATTTGAGGTCAGGAGTTTGAGACCAGCCTGGACCACGAAGTGAGACCCCATCCCTACAAAAATGTCAAAAAAATTAGTCAGGCATGGCAGTGCACACATATGGTCCCAACTAATTGGGAGGCTGAGGCAGGAAGACCACTTGAGCCCAGTGGGTTGAAGTTACATTGAGCTACGATTGCACCACTACCCTCCAGCCTGGACAACAGAGTGAGAGCCTGTCTCAAAAATAACACTAATACTACTACTAATAATTACTGGACAGAGAAGGTAAGACAGCACACAGCATTTGGACTTAGGGTTGAGTTCAGATACCACCAATTACCAGTCGTGTGACACATGCCAAGAGCCCTAACAAATCTGGTCTTCAGTATCTTCATCTTATATTGCGAATAATAATAACACACCTAGCCAGCAGACTATAACAAATCAAATGAGTTACTAATGGAACAGCACACGCGTATAACAAATGCATGCAATATTCAGAGATTAATATTTTGAGATGGAAAACAGTAATTTTAATCAATTATTAAATCATCTTTGGGCAAAGAAAGATTAAAAAAAAAAGGTAGTTTAAAAATCAAATGAGTAAAAGAAGAATATTTATGAAGTTTTTTCTTACTGCTTAACCAAAGGTAGATCAGTGTATATAAGTAGACCACAAAAAGTATCTTAAATTTTTAAAAATCCTAGATTTCAAATAATTCACTGATGTATGTTTCAATGTCACTAAATATTTTACTTTTATACATACTTACTTGTAAAAATAAGTAACGGGGCAGTACATTGTCAAATGAAGGGCTGAGATATACTGGTTCTGTCATTCTTATGCCCATGCCTCTGAAAAATAGGAAATCTAACATTAGTCTGTGTAATTCCACAGTCTATACAAACTGTATTTCCGGGAACATTTTCAAATAGCCTGTCAAACATAAGATGCTCTGCCTTTTTAGGAACTCTTTTATTCAACAACAAAACACATAGAGTAGTCCTGTGAATTATTTTTGAATTTGTACCTGCAGAATAGGAAGCCATCAGAACTAAAAAGGAAAACGTTACATAACGCTTGCATTTAAGCACAAATGAGTTTCCACAGAGATTTGAACATGACCTCATTCTTTACTGCTTCCTGTCAGCTCTTTATAGAATAACTGACTGTACTGACACAATCCCAAGGATAACCTTTTTCACCTTTGTCCCGTTTTATGAGGGGCAGTGTAACTGTTCAGACCAGGAAGGGCCAGGACTCAGAAGGGCCTCATGGACAGTGACTCATCAAGACAAACATCACAATCTCAGAGGTTGTCAGACACTATTGAAGCAGAGAAAGAACGCCCAAATCCTGTCAGACAAAGCCAAGCCTGGCCTTGTGTGTCAGGCCAAACCAGAGAGGGCAAGAAAAAGGAGAAACCAAGAGTGTTCTAGGGATTAGGAGGGCACAGAAAAAAGTACAGTATAATTAAAAGGGAAGGATAAAAATGAGGATTTAAGCCGGCATAGTGGCTCATGCCTATAATCCCAGTACTCTGAGAGACTAGCACAGGGGGATCACTTGAGGTCAGGAGTTTGACACCAGCCTAGACAATATCTCTACAAAAAAAAAAAAAATTAATAAACTAGTCAGGCATGGTGGAGTGTACCTGTAGTCCCAGCTACTTGGGAGACTGAATCAGAAGGCTCCCTTGAGGACTCCAGGAATTAGAGGCTGCAGTGAGTTATGATCCTACCACTGCACTCCAACCTGGGCAACAGAGTACCCAAATAAATAAAATAAAAACTTTTTTAAAAACCAAGACTTAAACCTGGTTTAAGGATACAAGCAAAGGAGAGCCCAATTAGGATCAACAAAGATAAAGTCTTAGAAGCAATATGGTAGACAAGTTCATAGCTAGCTTATGGAACAGCTTATGAGTTGATCTTGGCAGGGATGCATCTACACAGATGGTGTATACCCTATCTGATATTGACAGGGTAAGTTAATGCTGGTCTTTAGAGTAAAATAATGTCAGTAGCTATCTGTAGACTATTAGTGCAGTGCTGTCATTATAAATTCCCCTCAGTTTTATTGTTGTTTGTATGTCTGTATGTAGGTATGCATGTATGTAGGTATGTACTGACACATGGTTTCATTCTGTCACCCAGGCTGGAGCACAGTGGCACAATCATAGTTCACTGCAGCCTCTAACTCCTGGGTTCATCCTCCCACCTCAGCCTCCCCAGTAGCTGGGACTACAGGTACACACCACCAAGCCCAAACTGGCATCAAATTCCTAGCCTCAAACGATATCCTCCTGTCTTAGCTTCCAGGGTTGCTGGAGTAACAGATATGAGCCAGCATGCCTGGCTCCCTCAGTTCTTACAGGCTTTAGCATACAACAAATGCTGACTTATTTTCTTCTTCTTCCCACCCCTTTGCCACACTACTCGTATGTTTACCACTTGAAATCCATGAATGTGAACTTTTAATCTGAGGTAAAACTCAGGATCAAATCAAACCACTGTATTCACTTCCAAGGCAAACAGTCCCTGCCCCTGAGCATAAAATATACAAAGGAACCTTCTGAAATGTCACTGACTCACATTTGAAAGCCAGTCCTAGTTGGGTGTGGCATCCCATGACTGTAATCCTAGCACTTTGGGAGGCCAAGATGGAAAGACTGCTTGAGACCAGGAGTTGAAGACCAGATTGGGCAACACAGCAAAATTCCCATCTCCATGAAAAGAAATTTAAAAGCTGGGCGCAGTGGCTCACGCCTGTAATCCCAGCACTTTGGGAGGCTGAGGTAGGCAGATCACCTGAGGTCAGGAGTTCAAGACAAGCCTGACTAACATGGAGAAACCCTGTCTCTATTAAAAATACAAAATTAGTCATGCATGGTGGCACATGCTTGTAATCCCAGCTACTCGGGAGGCTGAGGCATGAGAACTGCTTGAATCCGGGAGGTGGAGGTTGCCGTGAGCCAAGATTGCACCACTGCACTCCAGCATAGGCAACAAGAGTGAAACTTTGTCTCAAAAAAAAAAAAAAAAAAAAAAAAAAACGGAATTTAAAATATTACCAGGTCGTGGTGGCTTGTACCTATAGTACTAGCTACTCAGAAGCTGATGTAGGAGGATCGCTTGAGCTCAGGAGTTCAAGGTTACACTGAACTTTGATCGCAGTGTGAGTGACAGAGCCAGACCCTATCTCTACAAGAAAAAACAAAGCAAGTCAGTCCTTTGTTGTGACACCTGGTACTCTTACCTTGATCAACAGTCTACAACTAATACTTGTAGACCAGAGTCTACAACTATTTTTGAGTATCTTGAATTCCATAGTCTGATCACTCCATAATTTAAATGACTTTCTGACTTGCAGGATGCTGGTCCTCTAAAAATACTGAAACTTTAAAATGTTCATGCCTGTCTTCCTAACTCAGTCCCTAACTGCCACTTTCAGTTCTGGTGCTCTTTGACTATTTCCTTCTGACTACGCCTATCAGAATAAGTGAGTGCTATAAATCACTGAACTTAAAATAACATAATAAAGAAGAATTTAAGCCAATTATTATTCAGGTATGAAATTACATGTTCTTTTAAAATATATTTTTGTAGCCATGTATCTCCACATAATAATGCAAAGTACAAGACTGCACAGGATAAAACAGTCTGTTAGTAAATTAACCTACCTCCATGAATCTATGAATGATTCAACCCACCTGGAATTCAAGAAAGCAAAGGGCTGAAATTCACTAAATGAATAATAATTGTACCATTAGTTGTGTTGGTTTAAAACTTTTTAAAGAATACAAATAAGAAACAGGTAGCATTTCTGTTACAGCAGCCTTGCTTCTCACACAGGAAGAGAAAAATCTTGCAACAGTATAACTGAATAAATTGAGTTTAAAAACCAATGTTTTTTTCCTTTTTTTTGAAATTCTGAAGTCTGGCTGTGTCACCCAGGCTGGAGTGCAGTGGTGCGATCTTGGGCCAACTGCAACCTCTACCTCCTGGGTTCAAACAATTCTCCAGCCTCAGCCTCCTGAGTAGCTGGGATTACAGGCACCTACCACCACACCTGGCTAATTTTTGTATTTTTTGTAGAGACAGGGCTACACCAAGTTGGCTGGGCTGGTCTCAAAGTCCTGACCTCAAGTGAGATCACCCATCTTGGCCTCTCGAAGTGCTGGGATTACAGAAGTGAGCCACCACATCCAGCCAAAAAACCAAAAGTTTTTTGAAAGATGGCTGCCTCCTAACTTCCAAACACCAAAAACAATTATCCAGAACATTGTTCAGAAAACATTATTCAGCACAATAACTGGAATCACATCAAATAACCTACAAGAATGAAGCGTATACCATTAACAATGGATTAACGGAGGCAGTCAAAATACCAATTACCTGTTACAGGTCCAAAGATAAACATAGCAGATACATGCATAATCTTTATATTCATGAAGCCTTCTAAGGAGAACAAGATCTTTGTTCTCAGCCATTTGGAAAGTGCTGCTATTTAGATCTAGGGAATCCAACAGTCAATTTCTTCAGAAAAATGAATGAATTTCAACTGCTAACTCAAATTGTTGCAACATGAAAAACTTGTAAGAATCAGGGATATCATCCAATTCTAATTGGAGAAATTCACAGCTTTCAGCATGTCTATGTCAGCCATGAACTTTGGAGTAATGGATCTGTCTACAGAATTCAAAATTCAAACAGCCTCAAAAGACTAAGCGAAAGAAGAGCGTAGATTTTTTACCAATTTATTTAGGGCCATTAGCAACCAGAGATGATTTAGAACAGACAATATTTTAATTTAGTTTTAACAAACCTAAACATTCATTTTTTACCCATAAATATTCATGTGAGTGCTAGCTTTCTGGTAAAATTTATTTTTAATCAAAAAATAATTTATATTAAAATCAAACTTTTTCTTGACAAATAAGAATGTTAAAAATGATCTGGATAGATCATCTAATGCAGTCTCCTTCAAGATTGACATGGTTTTTCAAAGATGCAAAATATTCCCAAAAAAATAAAATTCAGAAGCACAAATAAAATTATTTGATAATTACAATGTAACTGGTTGCTTAATGAGGCTCTTTAATTTGATCAGTTACCCTTTTTGACGAAAAATTATGAAAATATGGGTAAACAATCTTTTTCTAGTTGGATTTATACCCCCCCCCCCCAAAAAAAAAAACACTCACATAATACAACTAGGTACATTTTACATTGTTTTTCATTTTCATTTACCCACAAAAAGGATGCTGATTTCCCCAAAGCACTTGATGACATACTTCAGTGCAGGTAACCCACTGAAGATTTCTTTGCGGCTTAGTTCGGAAATCCCATTTCCAAGAAATACTTTTGTTCCATCAAACTCTTTGGCTCCTTTCTTACATTTTCCTTTAATATCAGAGTATACAGATATAACATCTCCAGCTTTCATAACTAGAGAAAGAAGAAAATCAGGTAACATTGATCTATACTTTAGCAGAAGAATCATGAAAATTATTTGAGCTAGGCAATCTCTAGAGGCATCTATAGGGGGCCTGAAGCAGTTCAAACTGGCTCATTATCTCAATATAATCTTTAATAGAAAATCTGACTTTTTATTTTAAAATATTCCCTAACAATAAAACTCACTGAAGAATCTTTTTCAGTGAAAACAAAGAAATAGGACAACTTGAAAACATCCTACCCTCAACTGCAAATCTTTAGCTGAGCTAAATTATTTCCCCCAAGCCTTAAAGGATTTCTTATAAATCTTGACATCTCAGCTCAAGTCTCAAAGTTCTAAGTTTCCTTCAAAGTAACTCTTCAAAAATGAACCTAAAAATCCTTCGAAGAAATGTTTCTAAATCCCATTACTCTGTACTTCTTTGCTATTTTGCTATGACAGCACAATGATAAGCATACACACCCATTCATATACATACACATACATATGCACACATGTATACGTATATGTGTGTGTACTCTTAGAATACCTTTTACAGTATACACAGAGTTGATTTATATGACTGGTTAAATCCAGTATTTGTAGGCATTTCATTTTTTCTGTAATAGCTCCCAGTTATATTTATAATAGAAAATTACAGTCCACTTCCAAAAAGCATTTTTAAACCTAATCTATCATAAATGTATTTGGGCTATTACCTGGCAACAATAGCAAGCAGCCTATTAGAGCTAAGGGAACTGTTAAAATCATGTAAATCAGATGTCGACATACTTTTCCTGTAAAGGGCAAACAAATAGTCTAGGCTTTATAGCTATGTTAGGTCTCTCTGGCATACTCTTCTTTGTATATATATCTTTTTACAACATTTTAAAACTGGAAAAACCATTCTTAGCTTGTGGGCCACACACAGACATGGGCCAGACTTGGCCAGCAGGCAGTGGTTGGCCCAATTCTGATGCAGATCAAATTATTTATTTCAAGGACACCATGACTGAGGCCCAGAGACTGGATAAGTTTGCTACAGAGCAAAGCCACTGTTTCTTGATGTCAAGTCCAATAAGGTACCACTGAGCCCCAGTGACTGACTTACTAAGCATATGCAATACAGATATGTCACCACCTGGGTGAATAAAGAATACTAAGTTTCATCCCAGTGTTCAGATTCCAGGCTCTGGATGTTGTCTCACTAATGATACGACAGCTTTCTGACGTTTTAAGGCAATGCAGTCAAGAATACAAAACAGAAGTTTTGTATATTCTCTCTATTCATCAGTAATGATCCACTAAAACAATCACCATCAAATGCATCCTTATTTGGAAATTAAAAAAAAAAAAAAACTGTCAGAAAATCTTATATGATGATTAGTTTGTTAGTCCTTATCAGATAAAACTCTAAACGCAAAGCTGGAAAAATATCTGACCAAGGTAAATTTGGAATACATCTTAGTGCCAATTCAATAAACTTTCCATTTGAAAATGCACATAAATTTTAAAGAACCTTAAAGAGAAATCCAAACATTATACTTACATTTTGATGCTGACACAATTCCTGGGGCATAGACATGGGCTCCTCTTAACACTGCATTGCCACACTGGGGTCCAACAATGGCTTCACACTGTTGTTTTTTAATATTCTTCCTAGAAATGTAAGATAGAAGAAGTTTAATGGTAACATATCTCCAATGCCTACCAACTTTTCCAGTGTTCTATCTGAAATCTAATAGCCTCTTTAATCTTAATTGTCCTGAATACATAAGAAAAAGCTGAAAAAAGAGGCATACATATAGAGGAAACAGGAAAAAACACCACCACCACGAAGATGGGCACTTAAGGGGAAGAAAAAAAATCAAAAGAGGTCCATCTGGTGGAAGGCAATACAAAGTGGCACCAGAAATTGCTTAATCACTTAACTAGCATTACTGTTTATCACACCATTAGAAGAAAAATAGGCTTTTTCTATCTTCAAAGACTAAAACAGAAAAATACACGAGGAATTACAAAAACATTTCTAAAGTGGTAAACCATTGCATGGTAAATTATGAATAATTTAAACAAGACAGAAAAACAAATAAGTCTTTTTTCATTCTTTTGCTGCCCAACCTTTTTGAGTCTTTTCCAACTTCTCACAATCCATTCATTTCTTAAACCACTAAAATCTGTATTACATCTAACAATCAGGGTTCCAAAGATCAGGGGCCCAACGTGATCAGTCCTAAATAAAAACCCTGAACACTGGGTCTCTAATAAGCTTCTTTGGATGTGTTGGCACAGCTCATTGCTCAGAGAATTAAGGGCATCCTATCTTCTTTCCATGGTCCCAAATCATCAAACTTACTACATTTTCAGCTTTATACTCCTCCTTAGCCTGGTCTCAAACATTCTGCTGCTCATTCTCTGCCTACTTCTTTTTTTTTTTTTTTTAGATGGAGTCTCACTCTGTTGCCCAGGCTGGAATACAGTGGCGCCGTCTCGGCTCACTGCAACCTCCGACTTCCAAGTTCAAGTGAGCCTGTCTCAGCCTCCCAAGTAGCTGGGATTACAAGCACATGCCACCATGCCCAGCTAATTTTTGTATTTTTAGTAGAGATGGGGTTTCACCATGTGGGCCAGGATGGTCTCTATCTCCTGACCCCATGATCCACCCGCCTCGGCCTCCCAAAGTATTGGGATTACAGGCGTGAGCCACCGCTCCCAGCCCTCTGCCTACTTCTTAAAAAGGCTCTCCCCACCAGGTTCCAAAACATGCCACCATCTCTACTCACCTTGCATTCTATCCTTTGGCAATCTCATGATTTCAATAATCATTCACAAAAATAATCCACAAATTCTAATGTTTAACCTTTCTAGACTTTTTTTCTTTGAGACCAAGCCTTGCTCTGTCGCCCATAACAGAGTGCAGGGGCGTGATCTCAGCTCACTGCAACCTCTGCCATCTGGGTTCAAGCGATTCTTGTGCCTCAGTCTCCTGAGTAGCTGGGATTATAGTCAGTTACCACCACACCCAGCTAATTTTTGTATTTTTAGTAAGGACTGGGGTTTTACCATGTTGGCCAGGCTGGTCTCGAACTCCTGATCTCAGGTTATCCACCAGCCTCGGCCTCCCAAAGTGCTGGAATTACAGAAGTGAGCCACTGCACCCCGCCTAGACTCTTACTTGACATTTTTAACTACTTACAGACAGCTATATAGAGTTGTCTCACAGTTACTTTAAACTCAGCAAGTCCTGAACGGTGTTACTTTTCCCTCATCCATTCCTCAACTTCTTGGCAGAATCCCAAATCTTTTCATCCTGTTTCCAGTCTTGAACAAGGCATCGCATCTGCCTGGATAACCAAACTAGATGCCTCAGTGTTACGGTCTGAATGTGTCCTCCAATATTCATGTGCTGGAAACTTAATCCCTAGTGCAACAGTGTTGGAATGCAAGGCCTATTGGGCGTTGTTTAGGTCATGAGGGCTCTGCCTTCATGAATGAATTAATGCCATAATAAAAAGGGCTAGGAGCAATGAGTTTGCTTTCTCTTGCCCTTCTGCCCTCAACCATTTAAGGATGCAGCAAGAAAGCTCTCATCAGATGCAACTGCCTTGATCTTGGACTTCCCATTTTCTAACACTACAAAAAATAAATTTCTGTTCTTTATAAATTACCCAGTCTCAGGTATTCTGTTATGGCAGCATAAGATAAACTAAGACACTCAGCATCTTAAACCCTTGCTAAGCCTTGACACTGATGTAGGAATCATGCTATCTTCCAGTTCTGAAAGGTCCTATGGACCTTTCTCCTGATGTCAGACAGGGTATCATCTCTTTATGTGATTAGTGAAATAGCTTCCTGCCTTTTACCATTGGTTTCAGATTTTCTCTATGTCTTTGGCGTTCTGCAGTTTCACTGTATCTAGATACAGATCTACTTTTATTTTGGCTTCAAAGTCACACTTCTTAAATTTTTCATCAATTCTAGAAATTCATAGTCATTACATTTGTGATTATTGTCTTTCCCCCATTATTTCTATTCTCTATACCTGGGACTCATTAGAAATATAAACTGCTCTTATTTTACATGACTCAATTTCACTTTCCTATTTTTAATTTATCTCTGCTGCTTTCTAGATAATTCCCTAAGAGTTATCTCCTAATTCAAAAATTTTCTCATCAGTTGAGTCTAATCTACTGTTTAATTCATTTTCAGTTTTCAGTATTTTTATTTCTAGAAGTTTGTTTTCAATTCTACCTTTTTATCCTTAAGGTCTTTTATGTTTTATTCGTTCATTTTTAATCATTTTAAGAAAACTGTCTTGTTACAGCCACACCACGATGAACATGCCCGATCTCATCTGATCTCAGAAGAAAACTCTTCTTACAGTCTGAGCCAGAGAGATCTATTTGTTAAAGTTCTGAGGGAAATCTAATCCTGCAGCTTATTGTATATGCTGATTCTTACTCATAGTGGTTTGATTCCTAGTGTCCCTTTAACAATGCAAAGTGTTTGACTTGGACTGAATGGGTGCCACTCCAGAGTAGTGTCACTGTTTTTGCCAAGCACCCAGGAATTGGCTTGGGACTAAATAGTTCATTTCCCAGCTCGCAGGTTCCAAGACAATTTAGGTTGCAGCAATTTGAATTCCAAATCTTTTTGAGGGAGGGAACTTAACGCTGTGCATTCTCAGAAACACATTTTTCTCCAACCTATATCCTAAAGCAAAAAAGACCTACTTTTAATTAATTGCCTTGTACTGACTAGCGGGTATTTCTCACTCTTAACACTGTGCTGTTTAAACCAAAGACCCTAAATTTAGGAGACAGACCACCTCCTTTACCATACCTCCAACCCTCCAATATCAGCTCACATGCTTCCCATTCCCTTTTCAATTATTCTGCATTCCTAACCTCTAATATATCAATTACATTCTTAATCACTCAGCTATGCCATTTTGTGAAATACTATTTCTTTCACTTAGCACTCCTAGGTGTATGTAGCAAAACTGGGAGGTAGGACAGGAGATATAATGGATGACAGGAGATGTAAGAGATGATTACTTTTATATTTATATACAACTCTAATTGCTACTTGGTTCTATAAAGAAAAACCTAACTGAACTCTATCTTTAGAAAAACTAAATAAAACTAAAGAACAAAGAAGAGGTGCTTAACAGAATAAGAAATGGCCTAAATAAGTACAATTTTGCATTCTCATAAGAAGTATAATAACCTCCATATTCGGTTATTGTGGTCTATCATAGTAGCTAAATAACTGGTCCAAAACTAAGAAATGACAGAAATCAGAACAGCAGTTTCCCAGTAGGGTACCTGAGTACAGGAGACATTTCTTACATCATGGAAATGCTCTATCTTGACTAGAATAGGTCTTGGCTACACAGATGTATATATTTGTCAAAACTCAACAAACTATACATTTAAGATCTCTTCATTTCACTGTATGTAAATTTCGCCTTTAAAAACCTGAACAGAGATGAAAAAATTTTAAAGATGAATTGAATGAGAAGCCTACACAAGTAAACTTTAATTGCAGAAATGCATTCTTATAGTAAAAAATAAAACTGAAATACTACATGTGGTAATTGCCTTTTATTTACTCCCTCTCTCCCAATCTAACTTCCTCAGAGTTAATTACTATTAAAAGTTGTGTATGTTACGGCTTCCAGACTTTTTTTTTTTAACATGTAAATAAATATACATAAATGCATAGTTGGGTATATTTTTCTAATTGCAAAAAAAGTAATTATCCCAAGTATGGCGATTTACTTTTGATAGTTACCAACTGATCATAAACATCTTCTCTGATTGGCAGGTATTATTCTCCCACATTAAAGGCCATATACTATCCCATTGCATGGACAAATCATAGTTTATTAAACCACTGCTCTATTGCTGCCCACTAAATTACTTTAAAGTTTTAACAAAACCATTTCTGTATTTGTTGTAACTCTTAGTTTAAAAAGATTTGACTATAACTAGGAATTGTAACATGCTCTAAAGGAATAAAACATCATTACAATCATTCATTATACTATAAAAATTTATTTTTCGCCGGGCGCGGTGGCTCACGCTTGTAATCCCAGCACTTTGGGAGGCCGAGGCGGGTGGATCACGAGGTCAAGAGATCGAGACCATCCTGGTCAACATGGCGAAACCCCGTCTCTACTAAAAAACTACAAAAAATTAGCTGGGCATGGTGGCGTGTGCCTGTAATCCCAGCTCTCAGGAGGCTGAGGCAGGAGAATTGCTTGAACCCAGGAGGCAGAGGTTGCGGTGAGCCGAGATCGCGCCATTGCACTCCACCCTGGGTAACAAGAGTGAAACTCCGTCTCCAAAAAAAAAAAAAATAAATATAAAATTTTTTTTTTCCCCCCCCCCCCCCCCCCCCGCATTTTTTTTTTTTTTTTTTTCTTTTTTGAGACAAGGTCTCACTCTGTCTCCCAGACTGGAGTACAGCAGCACAATCACAGCCACTGCAGTCTCCACCTCCCAGGCTCAAACGATCCTTCCACCTCAGTCTCCTTAATAGCTGTGACTACAGGTAGGCACCACCGTACTCAGCTAATTTTTATCATTTTTTTTTTTTTTTTGGTAGAGGCAGGGTTTTGCCACATAGCCCAGACTGGTCTCCAATCCCTGGGTTCAAGGGATCCACCTACCTGAGCCTCCCAAAGTGCTGGGATAACAGGAGTAAGCAAACCACCAGATCCAGCCTGAAAACCTATTTTTCAATTTTCAAACATATGCTTTCCAAATAAATGAGTAGAACAGAAACAGCACATGGTAGTTTAACATAATTGTTGAATTATGACTAGAATTTTACAGGCTGGGCAAGATGGCTCTCATGGGTAATTTCAACACTTCAGGAAGCTGAGGTGGGATTGAGGCTAGGAGTTCAGTACCAGCCTGGGATACATAGTGAGACTGTTTCTACAGAATAAAAAATAAATTAGCCAGGTGGAGTGGTGTGCACCTGTAGTCCCTGCTACTTGGAAGCTGAGGTGGTATAACTGCCTGAGCCCAGAAGTTCGAGCCTGTTGTGAGCTAGGATTGTACCCCTGCACTCCAGCCTGGATAACAGAGCAAGACGCTGTCTCAAAAAATAAAATTTTACAAACATATCAGCTAAGAAAGTAGAAAATAAGTTACTTTATGTTTTTGTTGCAGCTCAAAAAAAAGTTTTAATTTAGCACTGAAAATTCCTATGAAATACAAGTAAGCAAATGAAATAAAGCTTCTCAGAATGTGGGGGAAAAAATCACAGCACTAAAGGGACCTAAAATGCATTATTCTCAAGGTCCTTGGCCTCATTACTAGTCTTCTTTTGAATGATTTTCCAGGACAGAATATAAAGTTTGCATTTATAAACTTCTGAATTCCTGTTATCTACAGAAAGTTGCTAACAATGGAGAAAGTTAGTCATATCACCAAACAGTAAAAAAGCTCCCTGTGACAAATTTTATTGAGAAGAATATAATTTGGAAATGAAGTTTTTACAAACCTGGGTCCAATAACAGGAATAAGTAAGACATCCTGAAGGTCTGGATGTTGAAGAATAGGAATACTTAATCCGTTCAACTGCTGTTAAAAGTAAACATGATTATCAAGCAACTGATACATCTGATACATTTCAACTTATGAAACTTTTCAGTATCATCATCCACCACAGCACGAAGCTCTAGTAGCTCTGGAGAACTTTCACTTTATTCCATGGGGTACCGTACAAATCAAAATGACCTCACAACAACAATGTTCTCTCTATTCTAATTCTGAAGCATCCTGACTTCTTTACAAGACTCAATTTTGCTTACTGTTTGGCATTATAAACACAAGCTGTGGTTACCTGAAATGATTCACTTTAAAAACTTATATTCAATATAGAATTACATGTAGTATTCATTTAAAAAAAGTCTCTGAATAGGATGTTAAAGACTGAGATTACTATTAATAAATACTACCTAACATACACAATCAACACTGGCATCCATGTCAGTTTTGGTGAGGAAAAGAAACGTTTATGGTTGAGGTTCGGGATTTTCGATATCCTCCATTATAAGGGAACTAGAAGGCTGTCACACTGAAAGCAGGTACAGGTGCGGGAGCCAGCTCACACCAGCTCAAAAGAGCCACTGTGTGCATCTCTTCCGAACTCCACAGTCACGCACGTAGCTACCAGGGAACCAGGTGAGTATTTACACCACAGAAATCAGCAGACACCACAAATTAGTTATTTTTCCCAGAAAGGGGTTGTTAAATAGGTACCAGTGTACCACTGACACAAGCAGAAGACAAGTGGGCACCCTACACAGAATAAAAAACAGCTGGCCTGGGGTGGTGGCTGATGCCTATAATCCTAGCACTTCAGGAGGCCGAGGCAAGTGGATTACCTGAGCTCAGGAGTTCAAGGCCAGACTAGAGAATACAGTGAAAACATGTCTCTACTAAAAATCCAAAAAACCACCTAGGCGTGGCAGCATGCACCTGTAATCCCAGCTACTTAGGAGGCTGAGATAGGAGAATCACTTGAATCCACGAGGTGGAGGGTGCGGTGAGCCAAGATCATGCCAGTGCACTCCAGCCTGGGCAACAGAGACACCTTCTCAAACAGATAAAAAAAACCAGCTACATAGAGAACTGGATGACAGGGACAGTATATTCTATCAGGCTAGGGTTTATAAACTCCATTTTCACATACTACATAAAAGAGCGATAACAAGACATGTTTGCATTGCCCCACAGAATCCACATGGTATCTACAAAAAACTTCTGAGATCACCTTACTCATTTCTAAGTTGATAAGGAACAGAAAATAATTGTGCATATTTTAGAAATATAACTTCATATCTACCAAGTCACCAGCTCTATGGACTTCTGCTTCTTCCAGACAAAGGATATTTCAGACTATAACCATATCCAACAGATACTAAGCAATTTGAAGGACAAATTCCACCTCATTCAATCAAACCCTTCTTCCTTTCTCTTTCCTTCCCTCCATCATTTTGATGGCCTTACAGTATCAATTATAGGGAACAGCTCTTGCCAAAGAAGAGAATGAATTTTGATTTTTGTTTTGTTTTATAAGTAACATTTGCTTTACACTGAGAAAACAGCTTATACAGAGATCAAAGCTTCTCAAACCAAAGGTCACTGTCTCTCTCTTTCTATTAGGAGTATGTTAAGATGATATAGAAATAAAGCCCATAAAACCACACATATACATACCCTTCATAACAACACAAACATTTTTTTCCAAACTAAGCATAGGACCACCTACTTTTAATGCTTGTTTCTGCCCTACGCCATTTTAAAACAGCCTTATTGAAATAATTTACATTCCACAAATTTCACCCATTTTAAATGTATAATTCATTGATTTTTAGTAAATTTAAAGAATTGTCCTCCAGACTTAGACAATTTCCATCATCCCACAAAGATCCTTCACGCTCACTGGCAGTCAATCCCTGTCCCCATTGCTAGGTAACCACTATCTTTCTTTCTCTATAAATGTGCCTTTTCTGGACATTTCACATAAGTGGAATACAGACCAAACATCCCTAGTCTAAAAATCTGAAATGTTACAAATCCGAAACTTTCTGAGTGCTGACATGATGCCAGAAGTAGAAAATTCCATACTTGACCTGGACCAGTCAAAGTCAAAATTCAGGCTCACAGCAGAGTTTATCCAGCCTACTGTGTTTTTGTTTCTGTTGCTGAGTAGCTAACTCAGGTATAACGGTAATGCTATGTGCTGCTCGGTTACCCTGAAAGCACTATTTTTTCACTGTATTAATGGTATGTCTTTTTTTTTTAACTGTTAAATACTTACATATGAATAAGAAAATGTATAGGCCAGGCGCAGTGGCCCACGTCTATAATTCCAGCACTTTGGGAGGCTAAGGCACGCAGATCGCCTGAGGTTAGGAGTTCGAGACCAGCCTGGCCAACATGGTGAAAACCCATCTCTAATAATAATACCAAAATTAGCCGGGTATGGTTGCGCATGCCGGTAATCCCAGCTACTCAGGAAGCTGAGGCAGGAGAATCGCTTGAACCCAGGAGGCAGAGGTTGCAGTGAGCTGAGATCGCACTGCTACACTCCAGCCTGGGTGACAGAGTGAGACTCTCTCTCAAAAAGAAAACAATTATATAAATATTTTCTCTGTATATAAATTCAGAGTCAGGAATGACAGTGATTGTCCACCTAAGTGTCAGAGATAGGGACACTCTATCTCTGAATCTGAAACAACCACAGATTGTCCACGAGTGTCAGAGATAGTGACACCTTTGCTTTCTGATGGTTTCATGTATACAAACGATTTCCTGCAAAAAATTACATAAAATATTGTATAAAATTACATTCAGCCTATGTATATGAGGTGAACATGAAACATAAAAGAATTTCATGTTAAACTTGGGTCCCATATCTGAAATCTCTCATTACATTCATGCAAATATTCCAAAATCCAAAAAATCCAATATTTGAAACACTTCTGGTCCCAAGCATTTCAGATAAGAGATGCTCAGCCTGTAATACAATATGTAGCATCTGTGTCTAGCTTCTTTCACTTAATATTTGAGGTTAATTCATGCTGTAGCATTTATCAGTTCATTGTACTTCATGATTTTTATTACTGAAGGATTCCACTGTATGAATATATCACATTTTGTTTATCTACTTAGGAGTTGATGAATATTTGGAGTATCCCCTTTTGACTATTATGAGTAGTGTTGCTATGAACACCCATGCTGGAGAATTTGCATGGACATATGTTTTCATTTGTTTTGGGTAGATACCTAAAAGTGGAATTGCTGGGTTGTAGAGTATGTTTAACTTTTTAAGATACTATTAGTTTTCGGCCGGGCGCGGTGGCTCACGCCTGTAATCCCAGCACTTTGGGAGGCCGAGGCGGGTGGATCACGAAGTCAAGAGATCGAGACCATCCTGGTCAACATGGTGAAACCCCATCTCTACTAAAAATACAAAAAATCAGCTGGGCCTGGTGGCGCGTGCCTGTAATCTCAGCTACTCAGGAGGCTGAGGCAGGAGAATTGCCTGAACCCAGGAGGCGGAGGTTGCGGTGAGCCGAGATCGCACCCTTGCACTCCACCCTGGGTAACAAGAGCAAAACTCCAACTCAAAAAAAAAAAAAAAAAGATACTACTAGTTTTCCAAAGAGATCCTATCATTTACATTTCCACCCACAATGTATGAAGATGCCAGCTTCTCCATATTCTCACCAGCCTAATGAAATTTTATATTATTAAATTTCAGGTTGGGCGCAGGGATATATAGGATTCATGCCTGTAATCCCAGCACTTTGGGAGACCGAGGCAGGCAGATCACCTGCCATGAGGAGTTTGAGATCAGCCTGGCCAACATGATGAAATCCCGTCTCTACTAAGGATACCAAAATTAGCCAAGCATTGTGGCCAATACCTGTAATTCCAGCTACTCAGGAGGGTGGGACAGGAAAATCGCTTGAACCCGGGAGGCAGTGGTTGCAGAGAGCCGAGATCGCGCCACTGCACTCCAGTCTAAGTAACAGAGTGAGACTCCATTTAAAAAAAAAATTAAGTATGTGGTACAGAGACATTGGGGGAGAAAACACTTACTTTTATGTCATAGTATTCAGGACATCTCTCTAGGACACATCAACTTTTCAATGTGAAAAGAAAAAGAAAATCTATAGCCTAAGCCTCCTCCAAGTACTCTTTCTTGCTAGAATCAGGTACTGCTATCTAGTGACTCTGACCCAAGACCCGAGCTTCCCTGTCCAACCATAACATCTAAGGAAAGGAACCCAAAGCCCAGAGTGACTGTTCCTAGCCCATGGGATCTTGTATATTCAGACTAGGATACTAAAATATCTAGGTTCTAGAAGTCATTTGCTATGAAAAACAATAATAAAGTATATCTGGATGTGCCTGAGTTATGGATACTTCCATTGGGCCTCAGAACAGTTTTTTTTCATTATCTGAAAACATATATGCATGGCTATGGAAAAGTAATTACTTTAATTGCTTAGGGCAACTGCTTATGTTTAATACCTAATGTCATTACTCTCAATACAATTACTGCTATCTATAAATGAAAATCAGATTAATTTTTTCAAATTATTATTTAATTATTGTACTAAGGTTTGTTCTCATACGCTCAGATACCCTAGCTGGTTTGTCTTATAACTTGGTCGTCTACTCACAACTTGGTATTTAAAGAATTGCTCTTAAGGAGAGTATGGCAGAGAGTCCATAAATGTAATAATGAGATTGTTTAAAAGGGGGTAAGTCAATCAGTGATAGTTTTCCAAATAACTAGAGTAAACACAGCCTGTGATTTACAAATGGAAACCCTTTAATCATGGTTGCCTTTTGCTTTAATTCAGATACAAATAAGGCAGAAATGGGTCTGCTGACAACTACCAGTGACATAAGTCATTTAATAACTACAATATGCAATGTATGTGGTACTCCTCAGGCATCGATTTTTCTACATCTTACATTTCTTTTGAGGTAAATTTCAGTGTACAGTATATGAAACACATAAGGCAAAGCTTTCAAAAGCAAAAAAGTAAATTATAAACAAGATAATTCAAATACTTTTCTGCTTAGAAGTCATAAATGGCATTTTATAATACTGTTTTCATCTGTAAGAGGAATATTTTGCCAAAACTATTTTATTGGTTGAATAAAAAAAAGTCTCACGCTGTTTTACATTGAAAATAGATTCAGATTCATTATACTGTTCTAATTTCCTGGTCTTACGAAACATACAGCGCCTCAACATCATTTTTTATTTTTGAGACAGAGTCTCGCTCCATCACCCAGGCTGGAATGCAATGGCATGACTTTGGCTAACTGCAATCTCCGCCTCCTGGGTTCTGAAATTCTTGTGCCTCAGCCTCTCAAGTAGCCAGGATCACAGGCATGTGCCATCATGCCTAATTTTTTTTGTATTTTTAGTAGAGATGGGGTTTCACCATGCTGCCCAAGCTGGTCCCCAAGTCCTGGCCTCATGTGATCCACCGGCTTTGGCCTACCAAAGTGCTGGGATTACAGGCGTGACCCACATATAGCTGGCCCAACACTTTTTTTTTTTTTTTTTTTTTTTTTTGAGATGGAGCTTCGCTCTTG